TTCTCAGAAAATGTTAGATCTAAACATAATTTTCACTCCTGTAGAAAATCAGTCTGAAAGGTTTAAATTTCAGCTATCTGTACTCAATATAACAATATTTTGTAATTTTGTACCACATCTTAGTGCTTAGATTATAATATGTTATTTCTTCGATATATACAATGGATGTTAGTTGGCTACATCTTTTTAAAATTGTTATCAGCGTCTATATATATTTGCTCTGCCAGTTTAAAAGCTCAATTTCAACTGTATTTCAATATGAAAACCGAGAATTAAATCCCAAGTTCTTCTTCAATTAATTAAGACTGCTATCTTAGACAAATGATGTCATGTTATCAACAAAATATTCGCATGGGAGTAAAAGATACAAAAATTTATCTTGAGCTTTATCAGCTGGTAAAGCAAATATGTAGACAGCTATTAATACATAATTCTTTAATACAAAAGTTTTACATTCATCAATAACCACACAGAACACAACATATTCAAATACAACACCAATATGCAAATATTTCATCATTTCAGTACTAAGGAAAATGTTTTACATTTCATCATTTCAGTACTAAGGTAAATGTTTTACATTTCATCATTTCAGTATTAAGGTAAATGTTTTATATTTCATCATTTCAGTATTAAGGTAAATGTTTTACATTTCATCATTTCAGTATTAGGGCAAATGTTTTATATTCCATCATTTCAGTATTAAGGTAAATGTTTTACATTTCATCATTTCAGTATTAGGGTAAATGTTTTATATTCCATCATTTCAGTACTATGGTAAATGTTTTATATTTCATCATTTCAGTATTAGGGTAAATGTTTTATATTTCATCATTTCAGTACTAAGGTAAATGTTTTATATTCCATCATTTCAGTATTAAGGTAAATGTTTTACATTTCATCATTTCAGTATTAGGGTAAATGTTTAATATTCCATCATTTCAGTACTATGGTAAATGTTTTATATTTCATCATTTAAAATGTTTTATATTTCATCATTTCAGTACTAAGGTAAATGGTTTATATTTCATCATTTCAGTATTAAGGTAAATGTTTTATATTTTACCATTTCAGTGCTAAGATAAATGTTTTACATTTCATAATTTCAGTGTTAAGGTAAATGTTTTATATTTCATCATTTCAGTACTAAGGTAAATGTTTTATATTTCATCGTTTCAGTGCTAAGGTAAATGTTTTATATTTCATCATTTCAGTGCTAAGGTAAATGTTTTATATTTCATCGTTTCAGTATTAAGGTAAATGTTTTATATTTCATCATTTCAGTGCTAAGGTTAATGTTTTATATTTCATCATTTCAGTAAATGTTTTATATTTCATCATTTCAGTGCTAAGGTAATTGTTTTATATTTCATCATTTCAGTGCTAAGGTAAATGTTTTATATTTCATCATTTCAGTACAAAGGTAAATGTTTAT